ACCTGCATCTGTAAGGACGTCAGGAGTATATCCCACTTTCAGACCACGTTGTGCCGCTTCCTTGAGGTCAATGTGTTCTGCGGGTTGAGGTTAAATCAAGCGCTAAGGCGATCTAGAACAGCAAACGTACCATATCCAACAGACATGGTGGATACCACCTTCAAAGAAGGTCCAGCTAGCAGACACATGCCGGTCAAATCTTAGCTAGAGGTATGTGTTGCACACACACCCTTGTCTAGAAGCTCTGCATTAACCTAAGCAAGTCATCATCAGTGGATATATCATCAAATATTAAACATATTAATGACTGTACTTTGTCCGTGAGCATGACGATCACCCCGGTCGCACCAGATATATTCTCCATCAACCATGACCGTTCACAGGCGCTGTCCTGTGGCCATACAACCAACTACAACTATAGTAAGCCTCACCTTTCTATACTAACTGGAGATTAACTCACATCTAGCTCTGGTCTTGCTTCAAGAATGGACATGACATCGGGTCCGAGGTTGCGACATACGACAACCTTGGATCGTTGACTGTGTAGATGAGATGCGACAGACATCAGTCGCTGGGCGGGGGCAGAGAGAGTTGCGATTGACCCTGATGAAGACATTTTAGCCTGTCGCTGATCTTTGCGATTACTACTCCGAGGAGCCTCTAGGTAAGTGAACGCAAGAGAAATGTCGAAATCTATTCGAGCCACAAAAGCAAACGCAGTGAGAAGTTAGAGTGTGTATCAACGCTTCAACCCGGTCCGCACGGCTTGCCGTGGTCACCGGTCACCTGGTTCGTTCACGGGAAAGGATATAATAAAAGGACATCGTGAGGTGGAAAATAGCAGAAGAGCATCAACAACCTAAGCACTATATACAAATGATCTATTCAGCAATTGCATTTTCGCCCATACTGACATCAGCATCTTGGGTATCTTCGGACTGCTCGACCCCAATGCTCCCGGCAGGTCTCCAAACATTACCAATGGTCGCTTTCCACAGTCGCACACGACCATCATTTCCAGCGGAAGACAAGACGGTCCTGGGAGACTGCGTATCAACTATGCAGCCTATGATATCTGGAGAAAAAAACAAACCCAGTGATGTTCCACTCTACACAGCCAACCGCCGATCTGCACAAATCTAATCAGAAACAAAGCCACAGAGGAGTGCGTATCGCACGTACTTGTGGTGATCGAAATCTGCTACTACATTTGCAGACCATTTAGGATCGCCACCTTCTCCTTCGACGTCAGGTTCTTCTTCCGCAGGCTTAACTCGCCATATCCTAACATGTCCATCACGACCTCCAGTGGCTATAAGGTGATATGATCGCCCACACGAGGGCGCCCATGCCACCGACGTGATTGCAAATGGTGTTGGGGTATCTCCGTCGCTTGCAAGTGAGGTTCCTGCCTCAGCGGGCAACCCCGCCGGCGAAGGAGATGGGTCTAAAGTAAGGAGAGTCGTAGGTCGGCGAGAAGGAGATAATTGTATAACCTGTGATTCAGAGTAAGCAACGCCACAAAAATACAGTGTGGCAATACTTTGATGACACCGGATATCCCACAACCAGCCGCGATGATCTCCCCCCAATATCTATCCTTACACCATGATATGCACCACCCTCCATCTGCTTCTCGATTCCCCATTCCAGGTCGTCCCTGAGTGGCGGGGTTTTGCGATTGTTGCAGAGCTTGAGCGACCAGAGTTGCAGATGCACCCTCAAGAGTTGCACTTGTTTGTGTTGGTGTCGCAAACGCTACGGAGTACGACGACGACAGTGATACAGATGGGAGCGTTGAGACATCAACTTCTTCAGAAAGTTGCCATGTGGCTAGTGATGATTGTTCCAAGCACTCGTAGATGCGAACGTGATTATCGGAAGAGACAGTTGCCTTGCAGAAGCTCTCATAAATCTCCGACTGGGACGAACGACTGACGTACCAACTTCAACCCAAAATGATGAGGGGCAAATTCGACTGAGCGGACAGTGCCCCTTGCATCAACCAATACAGCTCTTTCCACCCATCTCGAGGAACCACATGAAGTAGCCTGAGGAGACCCGGTACCAGCACCATTCGGTTGGGAATCAGCTGTTGATGCAAAGCTAGTTTGCTCCCAAATCTTGACCGTACGGTCGAAAGAGGCGGATGCAAGTATGGTCCCAAATTCTGGGTGAGCCCAGCTTAGTTTGGATACGGTAGCGTCGTGAGCCTAGCATGAACTGGTTGATAAGCGCAAATACGCGTCTTCCAACATGCTCGCCTTCCAGTCGTCTTCGACATTCCAATTTCCATTACTTTCGTCTACTTGCCAAACTTTGATTCTTTAACATCAGCGTAAGTCAACTTGTAGAAAAATGTATGCAGTAAGGGAATAACGTACCTCTGATCGAGACTGCAAGTAGCCAAGCGAAGCCCGTAAAAATCATAAGCTACGTCTGTCACAAGATCATTGTGCGCGCTCTGGATGAGACCAGTTTGTATCATAATTCTCCAAGCTTGATTGGAAAAACCGAGTGGGACGAAGAATTTTGAATTACGCGTTAAAGCAATAGCAGTTGTATATGGTTGTGGAGGGTTTTCAACTTCCAGGAAGGTTTGTGCAAAGCCTTTAGAATTAAATAACAACAAACAAACGTCACGGTGCCATTATAGAGTTTTCATCCATTCAAGTTGAAACGCTGATCGTTAATGACTATGCGCGGTCACGGTACAGATACGTTTGTTGGCCTGCCATGACGTATTCATGGGCCGGCACCTCACTGGTTATCAGCGCTGAATTAGACAGTCCGAAGACGAAGCGGCACTCACACTTTCCTGAAACACCAACATATTGCTCAATATTCTCGAAGCGCGCGACAGTGTGCGATCGATTTTGAAAAAAGGGGGTCCTGTCCACCTCGCAACATCCAAGTTTCAGCCTGTGACGCGCGTTCAATGCGCGATTTCTGTGAGTCTGCTCTCTGAGATCTGGATATGGGAGTTAAAAGTAGAAGGTGCTTTATTGGCAGAAACGAGTCCATCTTCGAAAAGGACTCCAGCACAAAACTACCAACACCTCACCGAGCTCAGACTGTGCTATCAAATGCCTCAAAACTTGAAATTGGAAAGGGGGAGTTGGTCGAAGAGGCTTGCGTCCTCAACACAGGAGCTGGTGTGGTCTATTCGAAGCTGATCAACATTCCTCCTAGTATCTCCTTGCCACAGAGATTCTAGAGCGTACCATTATCCCCATAACAAGGCCAGATCAGCTCAAAACATTTACCGCTCACCACCGTAGCTGCCAGTGTTAGCCAAATGTCCCACTGGTGGCGTGGCGTCACTCTTTCTTGTCCTGCCTTATGAACTTACGTTGTCCCGTTGTTGCTTGGCTATGAGTGGACGAAGGAATAATAGCAGACTCCCTTGGCGCTCGACATACGTGACTGCAATTTTCATGTTAATAATATCAAGCTAGCAAGGAAACACTCCGCACATCCATCATCTCTACAATGCTGCGATTTGTCATTGGCTTTGTATCTGGTCCTGCCCCTCTTCTGGAATCCCTCATGCTCATTAACTCATACTTACATTCTTATCATGACGTGGTCGAATTCGAAACCCTCGCACTACACGGACCCGTCCCGAGCGATGCGTAGTTCGATAGCTATACGGTCATGTGCAAAGACCTCTCACCTGGACGAAAGCACAGAAACCAGGCTCTTTGATCTCATCCAGAAGTTGCCATCCTTTCAAACCCTCGACTAGAATCCATCGAACGTCTTGCTACGGCTTCCCTTTACGCCATAACCTGGAACTAAGCTATCGAGTTACCCATCCACCTGCTCTGGTGCATTTTTTGACTCGGGGATAAATGCGGTGAACCCGAACTGGCACATGGTCTTCTACCATGCAACATTCCAGTCCAAGATGACACCCAATGAGGCAGCATCGATATGCAAAATACTTTGGCTTGACAGCAAGCGCTATGGAGTCCGGACACGCGACCATGTAATGTATTTCCGGTCCAGGAGCTTATCGGCCAAATGATTCTCGCGCTTCATTCCTCAAGCGTTCAGCCTAGCAATAACTTTAAATCGAAGAGCTTTCAGAAGTCCATCTTGAAGTGCAGGGATTCAAAGAGAACATGACATGCATGCATGGTGGCGTGGAGACGCCACTAAATTGATGAAGGTATTCGAAAAAGGCCCAGAATGGACTTAAATCCGCTATCCTTGAAGCTGATCAAGTGTGTCAGTGAACGTGAGAGTGAGCTTGAAGCTAGCTTTTATTCGCATGGGAGGCAACTGCATCGACTCGGGTGGTTCTTAAAATTTGAAAGCTTGACTTCGTGTCTCTGGCTCTAAGAATACCAACGTCTTGGATTGGAGACCTTTTTCCTAGCTACCAAATGCAACTATGGTTACTGATGGTGGAGCAGGTATCGATCGAATGAATATCGCCTCCAGCAAAATGGGGTGAACCGGGACAGAGCAAGAGGGGCCGGGGGCGTCCACGGGGCCACAGGCTCTTCACCTGCTCCACCATCTACCGAGGAAGTACCTGTACCTGCGACTTTAATCGCTGGACTTGCATTTCACGAACGTGTTCCCTGCATCTGCCAATGCTTTTTGAACCAACTGGATCCCGTAACGGCGAGGGCGGCCCAGAAAGCGCAAGTACACCGTGAATGAAGACATACGATCTGAGGCAGTGAGAAATGATGAAAAAATATACATGAGTAGTACTAGACGAGTACAAGTATGCATATGACTTACCAGGAGCAAATAAGGTGCAACGTATGCCCAAACAGTGCACGCCAGCAGTCATCCCCTGTTCTAACTCCATCAAATAAGTTGCTAAACCTTGAACGTTCTTGAACCTCCGAAGAGATGCCTATAACCGGGATGAAGACGACAAGGCAAGTTCCGAGTTGTCCTTATACCCATGCCATACATAGCATAAGTACACCATATAAGATCAGATGACATACTGGGATTCCGACGAGTCTCTCAAAGCCATGTCCACGCAAACAGAGGTACTCGCCAGGTTTAGAGAAATCATTGCAATTGACGGTTGGGACGCTACATGGTCAGTGTGGCCTGTACGCCTGGATAGTTTGGAGATAGCTGACCGCCTCAACATTATCCAGGAAAGAACAGGTGACACCATGGGAAGAGTTGGATGGACGAGAGATCCAACCTCCTTTGCAAAATATTATCGAATCCGATAGGGTGGAATGGCCACGACAAGGTCAAGCGCTCGTCCCAGGCTGTGGAAGGGTATGGCTCTTTATCACGACAGCAAAAGTTGATATTTGAATCTCGGCGTTTCAGGGTAACGACGCGAGGTTCATCGCGGCCAGTCTGGGACTAAAAGTTACTGGCATCGATATATCTCCTACGGCTGTCGAGGCAGCCCAGCAGGAAACTCCCCAGGAGAACGTATCATTCCGTGTTGGGGACTTTTTCGCGCCGACAGATGAGCAGTTCGACTTGATATACGATTACACGTTTCGTTATTCGCAAATTTTGACTGCGCCGTCACGTTCTGAACCTGTGATAGATTTTTCGTAGCCCTTCCCCCGCCGATGCGCCCTGAGTGGGGAAGACAGATGGCTAAGCTCGTCAAGACTGGCGGATTCCTGATTACCTTGGTGTTCCCAATCGATCCGCAGGTGGACTTTGGACCGCCTTTTTTCGTGCGGCCAAACCATTATGAAGAGGTTCTTGGATCAGTGTGGGAGAAAGTTATTGACGAGGTACCCGCTGTGAGTTCAGCCACTCACATAGATCAGGAGAGGATTATAGTTTGGAAACGCCTCTGAGGTCGTGACAGATATGTCGAGAAGCCGCGAACAGGGCTTGTTACAGTCCATTTTTGTAATAGTAAAATCAATCCATCTATCCGAATGTCCAGCTGCACATTGAAATATCTAAGTTTGGGATGATCTATTAGCACAAATAGGAATAGAACCACTGGCAATTGAGTAATTGGATAATAAAGAATGATGTCCATTAAAGTTACGTATCGCAATACAGATCACGAGGAACTAAAGGGCGAGATCAGCGCAGAAACGAATAATGCAGGTAAGAATGGAACTGACCTAAGGGTCAATATTGGTGAAGGGTCTGACATTAGAATTGGTATGTCGCAGGATTGACGGGCAATAGGATAAGAAAAACGCCAAGTGCAACGGGCGGAAGGATGTCAGACATGAGGTTCTCAGCTGGCCCTAAACGCTTTGTGTCCAACATCCGGTCGTTTGGATGTTCGACGCCTGCAGTCGACGTATTACACTGATCAGATTGATAATACGTGACTTGGTTGATGATGCGTATCACAGACGTAGGATGTAAAGAGAATACTGGTAGCTGAATAATGAACATGCAGAACTGTTGATAAATCATTAATCAATCAATTTTTACAGCGGATGATAAACAGGATGACGTTCTTCAAGCACTATCATTATTACAGAATGTGTGTCTAGGTAAAATACTTTACGCCAATTTTATGCAACGGATGCAACAAGCTTGTTGGTTTTAGGCGACATGGCCATCGAGACCAAGTGTGTGTCGTTCCAGCCGGTGCCGCTGTAGTAAGGCACCTGAGACAGCACATAATCTGTGGCGAAGGAACCAGCCGCCCAGCCAACGTAGCCGAGGATCACTAGATAATGCACGTCGACTTGTATCAGGGCATGATAATAGGTGAAAACGTACCATCAGATTGAGTAGCCTGGTAGCCAATCTCCTGCAATACGAAGCTAACACAAGAGTCTACATTCCCACCACCAGTCTCAGAATTGAGGGCATGACGACCATTTGCACGGAGCCAGGTGGTCAGAGGCTTCCATGTGTCCTCGATGCCGTCGGTCACGCACGCAGCATTGGTGCCACTAAGTGATGTTAGCGGAGGCACAGGTAAGAGAATGATTGTACTAACGAGCCGTCGGAGTCGAGGTACTTGTGGACGTCCATAATGAGGTTGGTGAATGTGCCGTCAGGGTTGTGCACTGTAGCAAGGGCATCAGCGGAACCACTGGAAACGAAAGTTTCCGCAGAAGCATAGCCGGTCCCGGGAAGGAGAATCATCTGAGTAGTAGCGCCAGCTTTTCTAAACGCCGAATATATGTTTTAATTAAGACCCCCCGCAGAAATAGTCGAACATCCTGACCGAATGGCAGTAACTGCACTCTGTTCCAAAAAATTGTCAGTATCATCTAAAGCCGATGAACAAGGGGCACATACCTGAACTATAATCGTGAGGCTATATCGTCAGAGGGGAAACAGAAAAAATCTATCAAGAAGTATCATACCGGACTCTGCCCAAGTGGCGATACTCTACGTTCACGTAAGCATAGTCTGTTATGTGACTTTGCTAGTGACTTACCGGGATATCATGAGGTTCGTTCATCCTGATTATCAATAAGTCAGCGATCCCTACTTGCAGCGGCTATTACATACACCCCAAACATGACTTTTGTCTCGTTCTTCCAGTGCGAGGCAATGTTGGACCAGAGCTCAGCGAAGATTTCGTTGCTTGGACCGCCTTGACCGATAATCTATTGTCAAATTGAGCGTCATTGTCGATGACAGAAGTACGGTCACGGACCTGCCCATTGTACCTGGCGTAATTGTGGAGATCAATCTCACAGTAAGCGCCAGTGCTCAGACAGTCGGACACCAGCATGTTATAGTTGGCAAAGTGAGTCTTATCCAAAACGCCAGTCATCTGGTCGTTAGTGAGGTACTGCCAACCAACAGGGAGACGGAACATGTTGTAGCCGTCGTCATTGACAAAATGTTGCATTTGGCCCAAACCATCAATACCTAGTGGGTATGTTAGAGTTATGAGAGGATTCAGGGATACAAACCATACCAGATAGTTGGTGGACAGGGGGAACAGCACCTGAAGCAACGCAAGTGCCATCTGTACTACAGCCGAAATCTGTGGAACAGGAGTCTAGACATGACAAGTAATGGCAGCAGTATAGCACTCACCAAAACCTGCAATATTCACACCTGCGAACTTGAGCAGTGTAGATGTATGGGCACTAGCCAGGACCGTTGTGGTACTAAGAGCGACAGCAACAAAGGGATACAAAAACTTGATGGCCATTTCACGCGAAAAGAACAGGGATATACTGAGTGATTCATCCGATGATATGGCTGTCTTATATACGGCTTAAAACGTTGATTATACTATGTAAAATGCTTTGCCAGAACAGACGCGCATGGTGCGCTCTCACTCGCGGCCGAAGTTCGCACGAGTTAACTATTGACCCTGTGGTGATGAGACGACTCATCTCTAAATCATGAAAATATGTTGACCCCATGGTAATGAGAAGACTCATCTCTAAATCATGACAACAGTGCGCGCGGCGGAAGAGAAAAAAACAGATATTTGCCAGTCCCCAAGACTACCGCGATGAAAGACAAGTAGATCAACGTGATCGCGCGAACATCACGCAAATCTATAGGTCCATGCTTTCCATGATATCGGGCATTTGCTTATGCTTTAAATGCCATTGAATGGATGGATTGTTTCGGAGAATGCCTAGCCACCTGTTGTGGCCAATCGAGTCGGCACCGAAAGGCTTATATATTTGCCATCGAACACTGGGACAAGACGAAACTCCTACTGTCCACGCCCTCGGATGAGAAAATATTAGCCGATACGCACAAAGTCTCTAAATAGTCGTTTCAGGGTCGAACGTGCCTACGGCATTGGATTTGCGTCACTTCGGTTAGCCAAGTCCCGCAGGTTTGGGTCTGTTTGGGTTTCCCAAGGGGTCGCGTTTCGACTCCAGTCTCCAGCACACGCAATTTTGCATGGGGCTCCGATCAAGTCGTATTAGCTTGTAATGGTCTGGTATTCCCCCGATATGACGCACGATACCTGCCATATAATGGATTGCATAATTCCGTGTGTTGACCATGCAGTTGTGCCTAGTTGTGCCCGGCATACAGGTCGGGTCCAAGCTAAATATCGCCGTAGAACGACAACAGGAGTAAACTTCGTCGATATTATGGTACTTTCGGTGGGTAGTCGGTCGGTCTACCATGGTGATACACCAGAACGACAGTACCGCTGTCTGTCGATATTGCTGTCTTTATGAAGATATATTGCTCTCTGGGTCGCCAATGCCATTATGGACACTCCCATGGGGACAATAATTAAGCAACGAATGTGCTGGAATATGTCTTGTAGAGGCGCTAGCTACCCTAGAGTTGAAACCATCAGGTGTTAGTTTCGCACTCGAGAACGGAGTTCAAGCAAGGAAATGAGATTAGCCTGAGAGGTAGAAGGACTCAATATAACAGTCCCCAGCCTGGTGGGTAATCACGAAGATCTGACACCACCAAACCATGCGCAGTGTGATCGGCGCGTTCTGAATCCCGCGTATGGGCTCGCGAGTAAGCACTAGATATTTCAATGGGCTGCCGCATTGGTGAATCTGAACCAAAACACCATGATGCCGGGGTACACAAAGTGGGGTACTCAGGTAACCAAGGGACGGCGGAAAGACTCCGCTTTTAGCAATGTTTAAGTAAGCCTGTGCTGGAACATCAGCGCGATTAGTCCTTCCTCCAAATTAACTTTAAGCAGTTTGTGACCAGCATCCCGTCGTTTGGCTGTCCGCGGATGTCTGCAGTTGTCGTACTTTGATCAGATTAGGAATTTTATCGTTTGATGATCTGCATATATCACACACCCCGACGCAGGATGTAAGCGAGTTAGGGAGTAAGTAGTAGAAAAAATGATCATGGTGGACTGTCACAATAATCATAAATCAATCACTTTACGCTGGCATGGGGGTAGTAAACGTCCAGCTCGTTATTACAGGAAGTATATCTAGGCAAAATACCCTATATCAATTTCATACAACGGATGCAACCAGCATGTTGGTCATAGGCGACATAGCCATCGAAACCAAGAGTGTGTCATTCCAGCCGGTGCCGTTGTAGATGGGCACCTCAGACAAAACATAGTCTGTGGCGAAGGAACCAGCCGACCAGCCAAGGTAGCCAAGGATGACTACAGATTATACCAATCGACTTGTGCAAGGACATGGTAATGGGCGAAAACGTACCATCAGATTGAGCAGCCTGGTAGCCGATCTGCTGCGATATATAACCAACACAAGAGTCTACATCCCCACCACCAGTCTCAGTATTGAGGGCCTGACGACCGTTTGCACGGAGCCAGGTGGCCAGAGGGTACCATGAGTCGTCAATGTTGTTGGTCACACAAGCAGCGTTGGTGCCGCTAAGTGATATTAGCGTGAGCACTGCCAAGGAAATGATTGTACTAACGAGTTGTCGTAGTCGAGGTACTTGTGGACGTCCATAATGAGGTTGGTGAATGTGCCGTCAGGATTTGTTACCATAGCAAGGGCCTCAGCAGAACCACCGGAAACAAAAGTTTCCGCAGAAGTATAGTCGTTGCCGGGGAGGAGAATCATCTGGGTGGTAGCGCCGGCTTCCCTGAATAGCGAAGATATAATTTTCAATTGAAACACTATGCAGAGATAGTCGAACATGCTGACCGAATGGACGTAACTGCATACTTATTCCCCCAAAATCTCAGTATCATCTAGGGCCTGTGAATAAGGAGTACATACCTGAACTGTAATCGTGAAACCATATTGTCAGAGGGGAAACAGAAAACATTCATCAAGAAATATCATACCGGACTCTGCCCAAGTGGTGATATTCTAGGTTCAGCAATCTCAGCATGGTTTCTTAGAGAAATTTCCGAGAGACTTACAGGGATATCATGAGGTTCGTTCATTCTGATTGTCAATAAGTCAGTTGTCCGTAGATGCAGTTGCGATCACATACACCCCAAAGATGACGTTCGTTTCGTTCTGCCAGTACGAGGCAATATTGTACCATAGCTCAGCGAATACTTCGTTGGTTGGACCACCTTGACCGATAATCTATCATAAATTTGAGCATTGCTGACAATCACAGAAGCACGGTCACTAACCTCCCCATCATACCTGGCGTAATTGTGAATATCAATCTCGCAGTGAGCGCCAGTGCTCAAGCAGTCGGACACTAGCATGTTATAGTTGGAAAACTGAGTTTCGTTCAAGACACCAGTCGGCTGATTATACGTGAGGTACTGCCAGCCAACAGGGAGACGAAACACATTGTAGCCGTCATCATTGACAAAATGTTGCATTTGTCCCAAACCATCAACACCTATTAGGTATATATGTCAAAGTGTGCGAGGGTTCTCCAAGAAAAACCCTACCGGATAGTTGGTAGACGGGGGGGACAGTCTCTGAGATAACGCAGGTGCCATCTGTGCCACAACCGAAGTCTGTGGAACAAGAGTCTGGATATGACGAGTAACGGTACAAGTATAGTACTCACCAAAACCTGCAATATTTACACCTGCAAACTGGAGCGGCGCAAATACCTGAGCGTTGACAGCGACCGTCATGGTGCTGACCGTGGCGACGAAGGAATACAAAAACGGGATGGCCATTTCACGAGAAAAAAGCATGGATCCGCTGAGAAGTTCATCAGATGCAAATGGCTGTCTTATGTATGAGCTAGAATGTTAAAAATATGTTGTGTAAAATATTTCGCCAGGAACAGCCTGAGACAGCGTCAGACACGCATGAATCGACATGATGCGTTCTCGGTTGTGGCCAAAGTTCGCGCGAATTCTGCATGCAGGTACTGGACTAACGCTATGGTGAAGAGATTCATCTCTAAATCGTGACGACAGTAGATCGTGACGTTGAAGAAAGTATTGGCCTGCAGTCACCACCTCGATTCTTGAAGCACCGGGATGAAAGTCGACGCGATCACGTGAATATCATGCGAGCGGCAAAACATCGCTTCATTGTCGGAAGTTGGCTTGGGGTAGTTAGATAGACCAAACTGTCCCGGTGCCAGGTTATCCAGGCTTGCAGAGTTGATCTATCAAGTCAACATGGACATGCGGTCAAGCAAATATCATGCTTATGTAAGCCAAAGACATGGGTTCAGGGATGTGTCAGCAAATCAATCAGCGAGATGGACGTCGACCTACCCTACAGGCTTGAACTCATTTCTGATCTTCCAGGTAGCTCCGATATAGAACAGTGATATTCATCTCACTGACCGATGTTTTACCGCAGGGCACGATGAACGTGCTTGGCAAGTCGCATGGAATCCCACCAAGCCTCTGCTAGCGTCATGTTCAGCGGACAAATCTGTGCGAACATATAGCTATCGATCATCCGACAACGGAAACAAATCTTTGGCCTTTTCACACGTTAGCACTATCCCAACGGGGCATACGAAAACCGTACGCAGTATCGCATGGGCACCATCAGGCAGAGCGCTTGCCACCGGATCATTTGATTCGAATGTCGGGATATGGGAGCGAGAGGATATCTCGGACTCCCAGGATACTGGGGAATCTGCGGGGGATTGGGAGTGTGTGACTTTGCTAGAAGGTCATGAAACAGAGTGCAAGAGCGTTGGGTATTCGAGCTCAGGAACGCTGCTAGCAAGTTGTAGCAGAGATAAAACTGTATGGATATGGGAAGGTGAGTATCTATTATTTTCACCTTACTGCATCCCTGAATGATTTAATCCGATCAGTCAAACCCGATGCAGATTTTGAGTGTATGGGCGTACTCATGGAACATAGCCAGGACGTAAAATGCGTTGCATGGCACCCTTCTGAAGAGGTCAAATGCCTATCGTGGGAATAATGTGCATGACTGACAGGTGTTCAGGACAGATACTTGCATCCGCTTCGTACGACGATACCATTAAGCTCTACATAGACGACCCTTCGGAAGACTGGTTTTGTTTCTCGACCCTCTCTGGTCACAAGTCGACCGTCTGGTCCCTTTCCTGGTCACCGCAAGGGAGTTATCTCGCTTCGTCCTCAGATGATCTTACGATCAGGATATGGAAAAGAGTGGAAGAATATAAGTGGAAGTCTGTGTTAGAGCTGAGAGGACATGAAAGGAGTATTTACTCGATCAGCTGGGGAGTTGGGAAGGGCACGAGTGAGAATCTTGGATGGCTCGCGACCACTGGTGGTGATGGTAAAATCAATGTTTGGGAAATAACTGTATGTTTCACTCTCTTTCCTGGTGCATCGAGACTGATAAGCCCTCTCAGGAAACGGAACACACTAAGGATCCTTTGAGTGCGAATCTACTTGCGAGAGTGTCTGGAGCTCACGATGTCAACGACGTCAATTCTGTCTTATGGTGCCCTCGCTTAGAACATCCAGATATGTTGGCCACTGCTGGCGATGATGGCTTGGTCAAAGTATGGAGGGTGGTGCCGTCTTAGATTAACTATGTACAATGTTTCATTTATGCAAGAAAGTTTGATCAATATACATCTTACGCGTGGGCACGGACTTTGCACGGACTGAATAATTTACGTATACTATGTTTTATCTTGCCGAACCTCCAAAATGACATTATGACTCGATCAGTTGTGTCCACAGCGTAGATTTCTTTCAGCACATTTATCTTCTTATATCATCTTTTCACCATGCCAATCCTTGGGCTGGCCCCCTCTACCGCTCCAATAAAGCCTGTGCATTTTGATATCGAAA